CAGAAATCTCAGGTTAGTCAATAAGGGCAAGAAAATTATAAATTTAAAAATTTATAAATTTGAATGTTTTTCTCCAGATGGAGCTGTTAGTTAAGAAGGGTGATTACCAGTGACCAAGGGACTTTCTTCAAGGAAAAATGCTGATTAAGTTAAATGTTGAGTGTTCAATTGCCTTGTAATCTCCTCCTAGGTAAAACTCCAACTCCACCTTCTCTCCATTAATGATAACTTTCCCTTCATCAGCTAACCTGTTTACATCTTTTATGACCTTTGCCAAGGACTCTTCAAGTGTTCCATGCTCCTCTTTGCCTTTAACAATCGCAATTGTGTGATTACCTAACAAGAGCAATAAATTAAATAGTGTCTCTTTTGGCATAGGGGTTTGTCAACTTCTTTATGATTTTATTTTGAGCATGTTTACTGCTTCCTTGAGTGACCTGTGATGTGTGTTTAGTTGTGCATTTCAACATCATTTTTTTTAGAACATTTTTGAGCAGTTAAGTGGTGGATAAGTGTTATGACATAAATTCATGACTGCAATCCCATTGTCACTCATGTTGTAGTTCAAAATAATGCTGTTATGTTATAAGCCCAATTGCATAAAACAGTGCTAAATAAGACCATATTGAACATGTCGTTTGTGGTTTTTAGTTTATCCAACCATGTTTTGTTGCTGAGCTGTTTTTTATACTGTTATGTTATACATACCTGAACTTGAGAAGCAACTCTTACAGTCTTCTAAAATAGCGAAGGAGCACACAAACAGATTGCTGCTGTGAGACATTTTTGTCCCATCTCCTGATAGCTTTATCTTCAATTTGCTCACAGGAGCACCCTTCTTTTTGACCTACAGATATGAAAATGCACAACTGATGAGCACAGTTGGTAAATTTTAGGTAAAGTGGCCACTGCAGATTAATCATTCATTATGGCAAATTGAAAAAGGAGATATTAGCTTTGTTGAACCCATTTGGAGTGATTAAAGTTTCCTCATGTTCAACTTCAATTCTCAGCTTCTTACATTCTTCTGCCAACTCCTCTTTTCCTTTCTTTAGCTCCTCGATGATGCCTTGGGGACTTTGGAAAACCTCGTCTGGGTGAAGAGCAATCTTAGCCCAATACTGGCTTTGGAAATTTTGGGCTTTTTGCCATTTGTTTCTGATGTGACCCTCTTTATTACATAGTAAACTCTTCCTTTTACTGAGGTCCCAACACAAACTTTGCTCGACGAGTTCAGTTGATAACCGATGGAGGCTAAACCATCTTGAAGGGCATGGAAGATTGAATTCAAGTCCATTTTAAATTCACGCCATTTCCAAAGAGCCTTGCCATTAATCTGTAGATAGAATAGTGGATCATAGCCATTTACTAAAGGTGCAGACATATGAATGAAGGCAGGGTTGATCAGGGACTCTGTGAGCTCTAAATAGAGCTCCCGATCAACGCGTTGCATTTCTTGCACGGAACATATTTTGATATCCGGATGGTACGAAGCACAATTGTGCTCTGATGGTATGGTGTGTTAACAGAGATGTTTATAACTCTTTTCAATTTAAATTTGGTGCACATGTGTGACATGACACAGCTTCTTAATAATGCTTCATTAGGCGAAAGTGTGACCTATTGTCTACAGAGGCGGGGCAAAAACTCTCTTGGAACTCTCTTGGGAGTCCAAAGGGAACAACTTTAGAGGGGTGTTAGGACATTTTAGTATAGCTTTCGGAGATGATCCTTTTGATAACACTTGTGGCCATCGTATTAACGTGAAATTCCACCAAATCTTAGCTGAGATATCAAACTTACTTTACCAGAGGGTACCTAAGTCACGAAGTACTTTTGTGGAGAAAAAAAACAAACTGGATACTAATCAGTTCATATTCCCATACAAATGCTAAGCAAAACGGCCGCATTTTCAAGATCAATTCAATTAAACTTATCAAAGACCAACAACTTGGATGAGCGTCTTAAATAAAAGCTAAACACCTCCTCTACAAAAGCCAGAGGGTACCTTATTACTAAGTGGGCTGAGTTGTGTAAAAATTGGTAAAAAACACACTAGGCATTGGGCCATTTTTGGCCATTTTCTTTATTGTTTTGCGTGTTTTCAATTACGAGAATTCAAATTTAGCGCTATTGGCTACGCAAAAGGTCCCGGATGTGTTGCGGCATTCTGGGCAATGACATTCTGGCCACCGTTCCAAGCTTTAGCCGATGCAGTCCAAATCTGTACTTTTAGCAAACCATCATGGGTAAACTCCTCTCATTTTCATATAATTCTTGCATTTTGGTCCAACTTGACATTTTGGCCACTATTTCACCATATTGGGATGTCAAATATATTTTCCCCAAGAAATGATGTACTTTTGAAGTGTGTGCAAGAATTACAGTCCACCCGTGAAGAATTGCTGGTATGCAAGGTACAAACTCTTTTGCCATGAGATGCTGATGTCATCTTGACTTAGTCAGCAGTTCAACAGGAATGACTGGTCTGTCTGTTATTGCTTAGAGACGATACAATTCCAATATAGTACTGGTTACTTGCCACCTGAAAATTTGGGTTTTAATTATTTTTTGAAACATATTGTTAAGTTATCCGCAAACTGCTAGCAGGAGTCACCAGACAACTCGATTTGATTTCTTTATTCTAGCATAAGACTCTACAAGATCTCAACAGAACTAATCACGTGACTCTCAATCAATGTCTTATTGTCAATTGTTCATGCTGTATCCAGCCTCTAGTGATCACGTGTAATTGAAACATAACACAACATCCTCCCTTTTTTTTTTTTGAGCGAGCAATCATTGAACGGCTTCTATCCCTATCTCGAACTTAAATCAGAAATAAAATCAAAGTTTAAAGCATTCTTTTTTTTTTGTTAATGTTCCGTATGCTCTTAACGGACATAGTCCTTCAAGCACGCTGGTGGTTTAGTCACACGTCACGGGCGGATCGAAGTGTGATCAGGGATGGCCTTGTGTTGTACACCGTCAGGAATTGCACCGGGTGTTTCTGCCTGCTGGACTGCATTCTCTGTGGCTCGTTGAATCTCCCTGGACCTGAGCTGTAGGGTGTCCGGCAGTGGGCTGATCTGTCCCTGAGGCTGTTCCACTGGAGCACTGGTGTTGTCCATTGATTCCTTGGTTTTCCTCACGTGAAATCTGTTTCTGCAGTACGTGTCGCCATTGGCAGTTTCAATGGTGTACGACCTTTCATCAAGTCGCTCTTTGACCATTGCTTTCTCCCAGGTCTTCTTTCCAGCTACAAAGGGCTTTATTCTCACTACGTCCCCAGCCTATTAATCAACCACTGAGCGGGGCTTGACTCCATTCCCTGTATTGGAGTGTTCCGGTGGTCCAGGATAGACAAGTATGGATCAGTTCCTGCATCAGTAGCTTTGCGCAGGAGTCGCTTCGCGGTCTTTACTCCGGACTCCACTTTCCCGTTTCCTTTGCTGTTGTAAGGACTTGTAGGTGTGTGTTCAAACTCGTACACTGCTGCAAAATTGGCAAATTCTTGTGACTTAAACTGGGGGCCATTATTCGTGACCACCTGGTCTGGGATGCCGTAACGTGCAAAGTGGTCTTTAAGCTTGGCGATTACTGTGGTTGCCTTTGCATCTGTGGGAAGTTTATCGATCTCCTAGAAGTTGCTGTAATAATCCACGGTTGTTAGGTATTCCTTGCCATTCAGCTCAAAGATATCAACTCCGATCTTCTCCCAAGGCCGTAAGGGTACATTGTGCGAGACTAGCGGCTCTTTCTGTGGGCTAGTCTCAAACTTTCAGCATGTTTCACAGGTTTCTACCATCTGCTTAATTTCGGCTGAGAATCCAGGCCAGAATGCAGACTCTCTCGCTGTATACTTGTTGAACTTCTCTAACGCAAACACGATCGCGAGCATCTCCTTCTCGATTTGAGCGTACCTCTGTTCTGTATCACTGAGGGAGCGACTTGCATAAGCGATTGGCCTACCATCTTGTAGGAGAGCAGCACCGAGGCCCTTCTGACTCGCATCACATTGAATACTTAAGGGTTGGTCAGGCTGATAATAGCTTAGAACCAGAGCTTGCGATACTAATTTCTTAACTTCGTGGGAGGCCTTGTCTTGCTCTTTGCTCCATGTCCACTCTGTATCTTTCCTAGTTAACCTTCTGAGAGGCTCCATAACGTCAGCCAGTTGTGGCAGAAATTTGGAGAGATAATTAACTAATCCATTCAGTCTTTGGACTCCCTCCGTGTCTGTTGGGGGTGTCATTTCTTGTACTGCGCTTGCTTTGTCGGGATCAATCTTGAGGCCATTGTTTGTGAAGAGGTGACCCATGAACGCTACTTCTTGTTGTCTCAATTTGAGCTTGTCTTTGTTTAGTGCCATCCCCCTCTCTCGGCATCTCTGCAGTAGTGCTTTTAGATGTCTGTCATGGTCCTCAGTCGCTTCCTTCAGGTCTTTACCTACACCATATATCAAGATGTCATCAATAATGTCAAGTATTCCCTCGAGTCCTTCAAAGGCTTGGTTCACTCGTTTCTGAAATATTTCGGAGGATACAGACAGACCAAAGAGGAGTCGTAGCCACCGATACCTTCCGTAAGGTGTTGAGAATGTTGTGAGAAGACTGGACTCTTCGTCGAGGACACAGTGCCAGTAGCCTGCTTTAAGATCTACTGTTGAAAATACTTTGGCTTGTGCTAGTTCGAGTAGCATATCATCCAAGATTGGTAGCTGGTAGGTCTCTCTTTTCAGCACTGCATTGAGGTGCTTTAGGTCAATGCATATTTGTAGGGCTCCAGACTTCTTGGTAGCAATGGCTAGGCTGCTAACCCACGGAGTTGGTTCCTCTACTTGGGCCAACACTCCTAACTTCACATATTTGTCTAATTCTTCCTTGAGCTGTGTTTTAAGAGCAGTGGGAACCCTTCGTGGCGGAATTATCACAGGGCTTGCATTGTCCTCAGTTTCAAGGTGTACTGTTCCCGGCAGTGACCCTACTTCTCGCTCAAAGCTATCTGCGTATTCCTGAACAAATCTTCTCAGTAGAAGTTAACTGGTGGACTTCCGGTTGAGATGGCCTGGTCGGAGAAGCTGTTATGAAATTCGAGTTGTTTATATTGATCAACTTCATTTGTTGGGCCGCACGTGCTCCGATAAGCGGGGTGAATGTTTCACGAACGACAACGAATTCAATTGAATACCTCTCGTGGTTCTTCGGATTACGCACGATCACACGTGTCGAGCCGACTGGAGTGATGTTTGTTCCATTCCACATGCACAGAGACTTCTTTGACGGTTTAATTGCACAGTCCCCGACATATTTGAGTGGTAAAATGTTCACTGACGCTCCGCAGTCGACTTGAAACGATAGTGAGCTGCCATTTATTATCATCTCTGCATAAATTTCCTTTGGGTATTCGTTGTCTGAAACTTGAGATATGTATTCTTCTTCGAGGCAGATGCTAGTGATGAATTCCACATCACTGTCGATATCTGTTTCGTTTTCCACGACGTGGTTTATTCTTCAATCCTTTTTACAGACACTTGCGAAATGATTCCTGCCATTGCATTTCTGGCACTGTTTTCCACACGCGGGACATTTCTTCTTATTCATCTTATGTTTGTTTCCACAGAAGTGACACGTTTTCGTGACGCGTGTTGTATTATCTCGAGATTGCTCATTCCGATCATTCCTCCGTTTCCGATCACGCCGCCAAGACCTTCCTTTGTCACGTGTCGGATCTTCAACTTTATTTACTGCTTCTAAATTACTACCAGAGGCAATTTCTTTCATTTGTGAGCTTGTGGCTTCATTACTGCGGCAAATGTCGATGCATTTCTTTAATGTCAGCTTGTGTTCCTGAAGCAACTTTTGCCTCATGTGTTTACTTTGTATGCCAAACACAATCCTATCTCTGACTAGCGAGTCATGCAGGGATCCAAAATTACAGGTTTTGGCGAGATTTCTTAGAGCTGAAACGTAAGCATCGATTCCCTCTGAGGGTTCTTGGTTTCTACTGTTAAACCTGTATCGTTCGAACGTCTCATTTATCCGTCCAATTGTGTATTCTTCAAATTTCTCAATCACTTTGTCTAGCTTCTTTCGATCGCTTTCGTCATCAAATGAGAACCCATTGAACGTTTTCAGTGCCTCTGAACTGATACAATGCAAGAATAGAGCTACTCTATACTCTTCTGTCTGCTTTTCCAGACCAGTAATTATCACATAATTGGTCCATACCTGGTGGAAGTGTTTCCAATTTGCTGCTAAATCGCCACTGAAGCTTAAAGGTGTGGGCGGTTGAATGGAGGACGATGGCATAATGACTTGCGCTTGTTGAGGCGCTGGTGCTTGGGCGAGCGTATCAGGCATCGTTGGTCGTCTTGACTGTCTTTAGTGTCTTTTAATTTATCTTGACACCGCTGCCACCATGTTAAGTTATCCGCAAACTGCTAGCAGGAGTCACCAGACAACTCGATTTGATTTCTTTATTCTAGCATAAGACTCTACAAGATCTCAACAGAACTAATCACGTGACTCTCAATCAATGTCTTATTGTCAATTGTTCATGCTGTATTTAGCCTCTAGTGATCACGTGTAATTGCAACATAACACAACACATATGATTCAAAATTAGATTTAAGATGATTGGAAATATCAAGATGGTTAAGAAATGATAAAAACAAAGTGTTGTCCAATGAGATATACAAAATGTTTCTTCTTAAAGGTGGAATAAACAACTTCAAATTAGGCCATATATGTAATCATATTCAAAAAGTACTCTTCATGATTAGTGCCCGAGGTTTTTGAAAGTCCAAATAATGAACTTACTCCCAGCATCCCACCATAGGCTGACTTTTTTGGGCCAGAACCACACGTTTGGTCATTCTTATGAGAAAATCGTTGTATAAAATACTCAGGGGTATCAGCCAACCTCAAATTGTTCAGCCCAACTTGTCTATTTAAGATCCAAGCACTGAAGTCATTGTCATTTGGGAACTTTAGAAAGGACTTAGAGTAAGAGACAGAGTAAGAGCTTTCAAACCAAGTTTGAGTGTGGATGGTCTCTTGTCACACAACTTAAAACTGCCGAATAGCACCAGCAAAGAGTGAGAGTCCTAGGACATGTCAGACTAGCATAACTGGTACTATTGCTTGTACTTTTTGTCAAATCTTAAGGTTTACTAACATTTCATTATCAACAGTAAATACCAAAAACACCATTAAAGAAATACATCCGATTCCAAATTTGTTTAACAGAGCCAACTAGGCTATTCTTAAAATAATACATTTGGCCACATTGGTAAGTGTCTCTCTTGATATTGAAAGGAAAGGAATGAAACAAAAATGCAGGTAATTCAGGGAATTATTTTAACTGATCAGGTTGTTATGGTTTCCCGGTCCCCCCCTTGTCAGCAATGCCACTGACAAGGGTATTAACCTGTTGACTGCAGGGAACCGCATGCAGGGGGTGTCATCGAGTAACCAGCTCGATGACATGATGACAGGTAAGTGCTAAAGTGTACAGTGTACATGAAGGAGCAAAACTTTAAAATATCACCAAATTAGAGATCAGCAAACATTGCAGCTAAATATCATGAACAGTAACCAAGTGAAATACACTGAAAGTTTTGGTTTTCCTCTATGACCCAATAATTCATATTTATGCAGTAGTTATAAGCAATTTACTACCTTGGGTGGTGCATTTTTGGAATAAGCTTTATTTGGTTGTTAATCTTGCCCCTGTCAGCTATAAATACCTCTTCATGAGAAGAGGGCCTTTTTTGCCTAATAAAGTGATGAAAAAGTGATATATCAGTTTACTGAAAAGAAAATTGTAGGGAAAATTAATGGAAACAGTTTCCACCCATTGTAACCCACTTAAATGGCCTCTCTTCCGTTACGACAAAGCATTGGTCAACTGCCTAAATACTGGACAGTACAAATTAAAGTAATTTTCTAAATAGGCTTTATTTCAAATACAATTTACCATTATGAAAAATTTTAGCTGAAAGTGCTTTTTATGAGTTAATCATATTCATGTTATGTAAAGTTCAATATACATTTTGTTGAGTAAATGAAGATATTTTTATTGGGTAGTTATTAATATCATTATTATTTGAACTCGTGTCCATTTATGAATCAACTTAAAAATGTAGTTATTTGTAATGGCAACACATATGCTCCATACAGTGCAGTTAATTCAAGATTGTAGCTAACGAGGTTTTAAACAACTTGGGTCTGCCTTTGTAGTATAATAAAGGCAGAGTTTCTGATTTGAGTTTTGAAGATATTTGAAAAAATAGCAACAACTATTATTATGGTGTATTTGAAAAAAATGGGAATGCACTGTTATTATGTAAATACATATATGTCTATGTTGTAGACATACAGCCCTGATGATTTGTAATGGTAACGCTTCATGTTCCCATCCACATGACACGAGTGTTTGGAGATGGAACATGAGGGACAATCCATCCAGGTGAGGCCTGTGGAAAGGTGTAATTCATATGGACAGAATTTCCATTCCTTAGAGGCACATGAAAAGATGAGGTATTTCTGTTGGAAACCTAAGCAGAAACAAACATGCTTTCTAATTCTTCTTTACTTGATCAGACTATTCATAACTATTAGTACTATAATTACAAATCAATTCATTATTACATGCAAATTGTAATACTTTCTAAAAACAATCTTGAAGACAGAGATGTCACATTCTCACTACTCCACCAAACATAAAATTATTACTATTAGCACTAGTGCTCAAATTATAAATGACCATTTCATTGTAATAAATGATAATTAACCAGCATGTATGTGA